TCCATATGCACTACTAAGTATTTCAGATGATCCTCTGGATGTTATGCGGTGGGGAAAAAAAAAAACCATAGAATTGTTTGAGTCGGAAGAGACCTGTAGAGGTCATCTAGTGCAACTCCCCTTCAATGAACAGGGGCATTTACAGCTCAGTCAGGTGCTCAGAGCCCCATCCAGCCTGACCTTGAGCATCTCCAGACACAGGGCATCCACCACATTGAAGGCCACATTATGTAAGCGTTAGCCCACCTATTCCATCCTAAGTCGTTTCCACTTTGTGTGAACAGGGTGCAGTCTTATTAAACTGGCACAGCGGCACCTGGAAAATAACATGCCAGAGCTTCCCATATAACAAGTCTCTGCCTTGCCATTCTCTGGATGAAAAGATGGAAGTGATCTTATAGAAAGAAAATGCCATTGTCTTGCCAAAACTAGAACCAACTAAAGAAGGTTTCATTTCTCACAGCAAGTAAGTAACAAGTACCAAACAGTATTTCACTTTCTCTGTTCCTCTTTTCTCTCCCTCCCACAGCAATTTGAGGAAGGTCTCCTACATGCCATCACTGTAAATATCACCATGCAGTCAAGGTATTTGAAAATCAGTTTTGTGCAAGCACTCTCAGCTTCAGCATTCAGACTTCACAAGCAGGAAATCTGTATATACTACTCAATTTGAAGCATACAGATTATGAAATAGAAAGTTATGCCCACTGCTTTGCAACACGCAGACGGAGAAGAAAGTGTGTTTTCAACAGCTTACCTCAGCCATCAGAACTAGAAAATAAAAATTATCATTATGATCTTCTTGCCTGATCTCCTTCAAAAGGTCAGTGAAATACGAACATTACGAGCTCCTTTCTGCAGAGGAAAATAAATGCCTTGTAAAAAGAACAGCTGACCACAGCCTAAGCTGGGCATAGCAGAATCACAAAACCCAGCTGAGCAGTGTGTTGGCGTGTAATTTCTTTCCCTTTCCTTTTTTTGCAACTCCAGATAAAAGAAAAGACATCCAGTTAAAAGCAAATCTCCCAGTCAAGCCATAGCCTATTGACACAGCTGCCTATCAGTACCATATCCACAGGAAACAAGAAGAAATGCAACACATACTGATTTCCCTGTACATCCATTCTCTAGGAGAGAAGGGGGCTACATACACAGACCAAACTGCAGGATGATCCAAGCTGTTGTTTTTCCCTACATCAGCTCTGGGAGGGCAAACAACAGCTCTTTGCCAGCCTATGAGAGCACTCTTGTAAATACAGCAGATACACTAAAGCCATTCATACGGGGGGCCGCCCGCTCCCCCCCCCCATGGCATCACAGCCAAAACTCATGGTTAGGATAGCAGCCTTGTCCTTTGGCTTAACTGAAAGAAAAGTTGTCACAAGTTATTTGAGAGGAAAAAAATACAAAATACACACAAAATGGGACAAAAACACAGAATGTAGCACTGGAAAAAGCACTAGAAACAAAAACAGTTCATGATAATACCTTTTTCTGCAAACTGTTGCCTTAAAATACCAAGCTATGCAGAATCCAGATTGTAAGTGAAGATAACTTACGATATTCAAAGATAACACTCTTTGAAGATAATTCACAATACTATACTTCAAGGGCAAAACTCTAAAATAACAGCTTGTAGATGATAAACACATGATTTGGTCCAGCAGTTCCTAGAACAGGAACAAAGAACATTTGGAAAGAACAAAAATTAACCCTTGGTTTTACCCAAAGAATGTCTCAATCAAAGGAGTTGCATCACATTGAAACATTGCACTCTTATTTCAAGCACAGATGGCTTCTCCCTGTCACAAGCAATATTCCAATTGCACAAGAGGATAACAAAACTTCATGTCTAGGGAAAGGAGGGGAGGAGGAATAAAACTTCATCCCAAGGGAAAAAAAAAAAAAATACTATCTTTTACAAGTAACTACTAAGCGAAAGTAAAGAATTCCCCCCACCCCCCTCCTAATTCTTCTTATTTAGTCTTATTCTAGGTATGTAACAAACTTCAGTTTGGGCCTTTTTGCCTTACACAAGACAGTTATTCAAATTCTCCTACAGCTATACATGTTCTCCTCCTTTGCCACAAAGATCCCTTGAGGTGTGAGCACTTTGTTTAAAGCACCAATCTGCCCTGAACATCCCCTGAACGCAGCCTCCTTCCTCCACCACACTCCCTCGCTAGATCTCAGGTCCACAAGCAAATCACACAGAGGCAATGGACAAGGCCAGCGAGTACAAGCTGTAAAGCCAAGGAACTGGAACTGATGTCATTTCCAGTAGCACTCTGACCAAGAATGTCGCCACTTCAGCTGCAGCCTCTTCTAGGTCAGCACTGATAAGCTGATGTGAAATGAAGCAATCCCATTTCACAACATAAACAGTTGTTTGGCCTCACCATGAACAATATAAACATATGGATCTATTTATAAACCATTCTTCCTACTTATTGCAGAACACAGCATGACTTGTTCCAGAGTAGAAATAACAGTATTTCCAAGAACAGGCTGAAATTTGGGCAGCTTATATCCACTCCTGCAGCCTGCCCCAACAATGCTCCTTGTTTAGAAGCCATAGAAACAAAGTGACACAGAGCTGCTACTTCAAGAAGATACCCTTGGATTCAAGGGGAGAGCAACCTTGTTATCACGCACGTGGCTTTTGACATTGGAAGGAAGGAAAAAAAGACAAAACAAAACAAACAAACAAAAAAAACCCACAAACACAATGGCAGCATCTCTTAATTGCAGCAAATTAAGCTAAAATAAGAGAGACAACATCTCCAATTTCTAGTTCTTTACCCTGTGACCCGAACAAAACCATTTCTCTCCCAAAAACCACACCGTGTGTTGCTGAGAACGGACTGCTGGACGGAGGGCGAGCTCCTCGATGTAAATCACAGGACAGCAGGCGCACAACTCCCCGGAACAGCTCTCCTCCCCGCCCCGCGACGCCCGCTGGAGGCTGCACCGCGGGCAGCGGCTCCACCGGTGCGCGCCCATCCGCCCCTCGGGCGACTCCGGCCCCAGCGAGGCAGCGCTCTGTACCCCCCCCTCCCCGCCGGGCGGCAGACGGCAACAGGACCGCAGCACCGCGCGCCCGCAGGGGCCGAGACCGGCGGCGGTGAGCCGGCACCGAGGACCCGCGGGCCCTTATGTAAAGGCTTTCGGGAACCCCGCGGCCACCCGCTGTGAGGACACCCTTTCCCTCCCTTTCCCTCCCAACCCGAGATCCTCAGCAGAGCCTCCCAGCAGCATCTCTCCTCCCAGCAGCACCCTTCCTGCCGCTGCCGCTCCGCAGTCCCCTGCCGCCGCCTTACCGCTCCGTGCCGAGAAGGTTGCGAAGGTGCGCGGCGCTACCCGCTGGAACCGCGGCCGGGCGCCGCCTCCCTGCGCATGGTCTCCCCCCGCCGGCAGCCACCGAACGAAGTGCGCGCGGCTGGCACCGCTCGCGGGCTTTTCCCCAGGGCCGGTGGCGGCGGCGGAGGGTGGGGTGAGGGCGCGCGGGGGCGGGCGCGCCCACAGCTACGCGAGCGCCATTAACCGCCGCGGTGCCGCCGCCGCTCGCTTTGAAGCGGCCGCGCCGCGCTGCGCCGCGCCAGGCGTTGTGGCGCCCCCTTGTGGCTGCCAGCGGTGCGGGGATGCCGGGCTTTCCCGTTTGGCAGCCGCGTTGCTCCAAGCAGCGGCCGGGTGTGCCGCGCCGCGCCGCGCCGCTCTCCTTCCTTTTGTCCTGCCTTGGCAGCGGGCCTGGCGGCTAAACAGGTCGTTCGGCGGTAGGAGAGAAACAATGAGGGTTTTACAAAGGAAGGCAGAAGGATTCCAGCCTTGTTGCCAGGAAAGGAAGAGTGAAAACATCAGGAAACCACGAGGCTGTTTTGCAGGTGCTCTTTTGCAAGCATCGTTTAGTAAAAAAGACAAAATCGTCACCACGAAAAACAACACCACCGACAAATCCCAACAGCTGCTTTCCTGTTGTTGGCTTATGTGTGGAGCAATGGGGAAGCACAAAAGAAAGCAATGGAGCTGCAGAGGTGGGCAGGGGAGTCCCCACCGTTGTTCTCCATCCAATACTGCCATTGACATCCTGCAGGCAGAGCCTGGTGCTAAACACAGGCCTTGTCCACAGTAACAGCTCTCATGAAGGCAGTCATTATTCAGCTATTGTGGATCTGGGCTACATTGAAAAAAATAATAATAATTAAAAAAAAAAATGACAGGCAGACTTAGGAAAGTAGAAAATTTTATTGCAATGTGTAACATAGCGGTGTAGAACATTCAGCACAAATTATGTGGCAGTATAAATTTTTTACAAAATTTTTTTCTCAACATTAAAATGCACTGATCTTCTCTCACATTGAAAAAGAGTGCATCGTAAAATGCATCTTACACAACAGTATTATCCACTCAATTATAACTCAAGTTATAATCCTGCTAATTTAAACTGAACCAATTCTCCCCAACTTTCATCTCAACAAGTTTTAAAAACAGCCGCACAACGCTGGTAAACTGCAGTGTAAGGAGCTCACCTTGCCTGACCCAGTGGCTGCACTGCTATGGGATTACACCTGAAAATGCAATTGGCTTATCTGTGTTTGCAGGACACAAATTCACACCCTGACTCTCTGATGTGCATGTGTAATCCTGCAGCCTGGGAGTGGCCCTGTTGAATGCAATATTACTTCTCTGGCCTCAAACACAGAATTAAAGTCACAAATCTATCTCTGATCCAACATGAAATAATAGTAATAATCTAGGTTAATCAAGAAGCAGCCAACTTTCTTTTTTGTTTTTTTTTGTTTTGTTTTGTTTTGTTTTTGTTTTTAATTTCATACCAAAAATGAATTTTGCATATAAACATCCCAATAGCTATTTATTAACTTTCAAGTTTGTCTGTCAAACTGTGTTAGGCAAATTCTTCATTTACAATGTACGCAACAATGTGGCTTTTTTTTTTTTTTTTTTTTTTTTTTTTTTTTTTTTTTTTTTTTTTTGAAGGCGAGAGTCACACAGAGCAGAACCATTTTCTCAGTTATGTACGATGGCAAGAAGCAATGCAGAGTCCTGAGCATTTTAAGAAATAACTTAGAACCTTGTGATTAAAACCATCCTCCGTGCCTTAGTGTTCAAACTATTCACAGCGCTTTCGCATTCTCAGCTCCTTTTGTTTATCTTGCAGCTTCCTCCTGCAGCACAGCGATCTCTTGGAGCACAACAATGGCCATTTACAGAGCAGAACACTCAAGGAAGCATGGCAGGATTTCTGGCTCTGAATGGGGTTTTGTGCACCGCACATCTGCGTGCCGCGATACAGCTGGCGTTTTCTGCAGCAGCGGCAAGCGGGTGGATTTAGTGGCACAGGGACGCACTAAATCTTTCCTCGGGCTGGGGCTGAGCCAGCAGCAAAGGAAAATGCTCCTTTTCTATCACGCAGCGTCGGTGCTGAGGAAGAAGACAGACTTCACGCCTGAGCAATGGGAGCACAGAGGAAGTAAAGCACTGCAGTCACATGGATTTGCGCTGCCCGTAGTTGGCACTCGGGCAAAACTCCAGCAGAGGTCAGCAGAACAGCTGCCAAAAGACTGTGGGGTTAATGCGTGTGGGCCACATTTAAAATGTCACCGAGTATAAATAAAGAGAAAAAAAAATACAGAAATGCATCGGAAGTGAAGGCAAGATGCAAAAAGGCAAAGGAGCACCACTGAGATGGTGCATTTGCAGTTAGGGCAGTAAAAACAGAAACGCAAAGAACTGTAAACTGAAACATATTCACAGTTTTCAGAGGTGCATCTTTTTGCTCTTCAGAAGAACCAGCTCCTGTTTAAGAGCCTTCCCCTTAGTTCTGAAGATGCATTGGGTGAATGCAAGACATTTCTCTTTAAAATGTCTTTAAAAATATGGGTACAGTCAGAAAAGGGAAAGAAGGTGTACTGTGCATAGTATGTTTAATGCATGCTGGCTTCCAGCGTTTGAAAGTATTCAGACATTTGAGGCAGCCTGGGCAGAAAGTGCAATGGGCAGTGAGAACAAGCAGTGCCTGCTCACTGCTGTTTGTGCAAAGGTTACCCTCAGGTCCCCATATAGAGCTCTGGGGAGGATGGGACCATTAGCTTTGAAAAACTGTAATTAGAACACTATAAAATTATCAGAACACCAAGCAAGCAGGCAGCACATTTAATTATCACAAGGTGTTTTTGTTTGTCTATTTTCTATTACATATTAATGCTGCCAGCTTTTCAAATCACAGACAGCCTTCAGAAAACCCCATGAGTTTCACTCAATATCTGCCGGTTAGCAACCAGCAGGTAAGAGCCAGCAACCTTCAAAAGAAGTGTACATGATATATGAGCCTTGTTGTTTGCACATCCATGCCTTAGCAAAACAAAAAGCATGGGAAGAAGCCCTGCCTGTATTCAAGAGAAGACACGTGTGAAGTGCCTTACATATTATTCACTCATTTCAGAAAGGATCTTGAACAAATCTGTGTGCAAGTGGCTGTTGAAAATAATAAATCAACTTTTGCAGAAAAGAGGAGAATGGACAAAGTTATGAATAAAATGCAAACATTGTTTCCACTGTAAATTTTTGTCAGAACTGAGGTCATTGTCAATGTGAATCAAGAAGTTGCTTGTTATTGGGTAAAATTCATTTTCATGTTTTAGGAGAAAAACAATATTCTCACATGACTAAAAACAATATTTTCAGCCAGTATTTTTGCAAATGCCACATGTGTGTATGGAGAGGAGGGAGAAAAACAACAGATGCCTTTAACATTTTAAAAAGGAAAACTGTTTTTGTTTTTGTTTTTTTTTTAAATCCCAATTTCCTGTTGAGTATATATAATGATAACAGCATTCTGACCCTCTATTATGTCTGAAAAAGATGTGGGCTGTTTCCAAAGGATTGCCTGTGGGCCCTCTTGTGAGCTGGCAAGGAACTGCAAAAACTGTATGAGGAGATAAGAATATTTCCTCATATGAGTTTGCACTTATCAACCACTGCAACTCTATATAATGGGTTTGCTTGTTTTTGTTTTTTTTTTTCTACAACCACACTTATCTATTATCTTAATACTGTGTAAGATACCATGTAACAGGATCCTAATGGTTTGCCATTAAGTCCTTCATACTTCTATGAAAGCTCTGTAGCTGCTCAGTAACATTCAACCTGTGAATGAGTAAGAACAAAATCTGCATCCTAAAAACATTTAACACGTTCATAGAATCATAAAATCATAGAATCACTCATGTATCAAGTTATACATCAACCTGTATAGTGTACCATATTGTAGTTAGCAGCAATCAATATATATATACATACAGCTAAATAAATGTACACATGTATACACAATATTCTTTTGAAAATGCACATCACATCTCAGTGCACAGAGTTACCAGTCCAGAATCATGTCTGCTTTACTCCACACGTACTTTCCTCCTCGTTTTAGGAACATCTTTTCATCAAATCCACTGAATTTTATTGCTGCTTCTACACCAATGTCCAGGATAGACTTGGAAGGCTCTTTCCGTCCATTTCTACAGTTCAGAAAGCGCATCTGGAAAACCATTATGAAATAAGTCAGAAAGTTAGTTTGCAAAAGCTTAATTTTTCCACAGGATTAAGCAGAATGAACTTGCATTGCAATCCCACAGCAGCCTGTGTAAGAATATGAGGAGTATCACTGCAGTCCTCAGATGGCTCAGTTAGACACAATGACATACATTAGCAGGAACAAAGCCTTACTCCAAATCCTGAAGATTTAATGCTTTTCTTCAACTATGTGTAAAACAAGCATATTCTTTGAAACTTAGTTTTCAGGACAAGCTCTATATATTTAAATTACAGGAAAGCAGCAATGATATATATATGCTTTAAGATTTGCAACATTATGCATGCAAGCCAATGGCAGTTCCTCCTTATGTCACACACATATTCATTTCTCAATGTGTCTGAGAGGAAGAAATCACATTTGTACTATACAGTAAAAATTATTTTATGGAATGCATAGACAAAATTAAGTTGGCTATTACTGTTGTACATGTGAGCATACATTGGTAGGCAAATATTAAGAATAAAACAAAGACTTACGTATTCATCCAAAATGAGGTATGAATCCCTCATCTATAATAGATTGAAAATAAAATATTAGTACACAAACGAAAATTCTACTCTCATGAAAGTCAAGGACAAGACAAACAAATTATTCTTTTAAAGCCTGATCCAAGTCTTTGAACCAGAGTAGTGTCCTACCACAGATTTCAGTGAATCTGGATCAAATTTACAGGAATAAGTCCCAGGATTACTATTATGACTTATCACATGAACAAACCAGAAATCATTTGAATATGACATCTTAAAGTGTCAAATTCAAATGTGGGTTTTCAGTTGTATTCGGGTGCTCTAAATAATGTTCAAGTTTGCTGATAACTTCAACATCAGCAAAAATTACAGTTTTGCATTCTAGGATGATTAAGTCATTTGCCAAACAAATGACATGACTATTTAAGCAGGGCTGTTTAATTATCACCTCAGCAGACAGAGATGCCAGTGGTAACCTCCCAGATCAAAAAGCTCTCAGGTCTGCACAAGGAAATAAGCCAAGAGTAGAAATAAAGACACACTTCATGAGCTAAATGGGCATTTCCTGGGTATCTCCTACTTGTCTGTCCACTGTTCCCCCCAAAAAAAATTACCTTCATAAGTGAAAGGAGAACCAAGAGTACAAATTGTCTTTACTTTGATATTGAACCTTATCAGACTTTTAAGGGAGGCATATCCAGTTTCACAGGTATTTAGAGTTCACAACTCAACTGTGGAAACTTCAGTTTCTACCCTTTTTGTAATGATACTTTTTATATCCACACAATTCAGATGGCCATGCAACACTGTGACAGGAAGCCCATCAGGACTGAGATCAGTGAGTTTTTACCCTCCCTTTAATTAATAACTTTGTCCTCCTTAAGAAGCCTTAAAGAAAATAAAACACTTTGGTTTCCACTGTAACAAAACCAGGAAACCAGGTGTTGTCTAATTATCTCTATAGCTCTTCTAACCCAATATTGATAAAGTGCTAATTACCATGACGCCTACTAGTTATCAAATACCTTTCCAGCTAGCCACAAAATAAATTTATGGAAAGACGGTCTCAGTTTTACCTTTTGATTAGATTCAGGTACCAAACAGGGGACATCTTTGTGGCGTTCCAGGAACTGCTCGAAGTCTTCATCGCTTATAACAAATTTATCTGCTTCCCTCAGAGCATCTTCCCCACTGTTCTCCCCTTCAATGATTAGGCACTGGAACACCTGAAAACAAAACACACCATGGTATGATTTTATGACTTTACGAGCCTCAGAACACTTCAAAAACCTTCAGTAGTCTTGGTAGAAATATCTTTTAATTTTTTCTGTCAGTGAAGCCACACTGCTAGAAACTGTGATTACAGAATCACAGAATCACCCGGGTTGGAAGGGACCTCAAGGATCATGTAGTTCCAACCCCCCTGCCTAGCAGGGCCACCAAACATACACATTCAGATCAGGTTGCCCAGGATCCCGTCCAACCTGGCCTTAAACATGTCCAAGGACGGGGCATCCACAACCTCCCTGGGCAGCCCGTTCCAGGGCCTAACCATTCTCCTTGTAAAGAACTTCCCCCTAACATCCAACCTAAATCTTCCCTCCCTCAACTTGGATCCATTTCCCCTAGTCCTGCTGTTGTCAGCCCTTTTGAAGAGTTTACTCCCCTCCTGGGTGTAGGTTCCCTTCAGGTATTGATAGGCTGCAATGAGGTCACCCCGCAGCCTTCTCTTCTCCAGGCTGAACAAGCCCAACTCCCTCAGCCTGTCCTCATAGGGGAGGTGCTCCAGCCCCCTGATCATCTTAGTCGCCCTCCTCTGGACCCTTTCCAAAATCTCTCTGTCTTTCTTGTACTGAGGGCTCCACACCTGGACACAGTACTCCAGATGGGGCCTCACAAGAGCCAAGTAGAGAGGGACAATCACCTCCCTCTCCCTGCTGACCACCCCTCTCCTGATGGAGCCCAGGATCCCATTTGCCTTTCGAGCTGCCAGAGCGCACTGCTGGCTCATGTTCAGTCTCTCGTCCATCAGGACCCCCAGGTCCTTCTCTGCCGAGCTGCTCTCAAGGACCACTCCTCCCAGCCTGTACGGGTGCCTGGGGTTCTTCCGGCCCAAATGCAAAACCTTGCACTTTGCCGTGTTGAACCTCATTAGGTTCACCCGAGCCCAGCCCTCCAGCCTGTCGAGGTCCCTCTGAATGGCATCCCTTCCTTCCACCGTATCAACCGCACCACTCAGCTTGGTGTCATCAGCAAACTTGCTGAGGGTGCACTCAATTCCCTCATCGATGTCATTAATAAAGATGTTAAAGAGCACCGGTCCCAAGACAGACCCTTGGGGGACACCACTTGTTACCGGCCTCCACCTGGACATAGAGCCATTGACCACCACCCTCTGTCTGCGGCCTTTCAACCAGTTTCTTACCCATCGGGTCGTCCACCCATCAAATCCACTTCCCTCCAATTTGGAGATGAGGATGTGGTGGGGGACCATGTCAAAGGCCTTGCTCAGGTCCAGGTAAATGACATCAGTCGCCTTCCCTTCGTCCACCAATGCCGTCACTCCATCATAGAAGGCCACAAGATTAGTTAGGCATGACCTTCCTTTGGTGAAGCCGTGCTGGCTGTCTCGGATCACATGCTCATTCTTTATGTGATTGAGCATGTTGTCCAGGAGGATCTGTTCCACGATCTTCCCAGGCACGGAGGTGAGACTCACCGGCCTGTAGTTCCTCGGGTCCTCCCTGCTCCCCTTCTTGTATATGGGAGTGACGTGACCCTTCCTCCAGTCATCCGGGACCTCACCTGACAGCCACGACTTCTCAAATATGATGGAGAGCGGCTCGGCAACCACCTCAGCCAGCTCCTTCAGGACCCTGGGATGCACGCCATCTGGCCCCATAGACTTGTATTCATTCAGTCTAAGGAGGCACTCTCAGACTTGCTCTGCCCTTACAGTGGGGAGGGATTTACCTCCTTGGTCCCCACATAGAGGTTTGGGGATGCAGGGTTCAGGGACATGAAAAAGACTAGAATCCTGGCCACCAGTGAAGACTGAGGTGAAGAACTCATTCAGCACCTCAGCTTTCTCTTCATCTGTTGAAGCCAGTTCTCCTTTTAAATTTACCAAAGTAGGTACGCCCGTTTTGGCCTGTCTCTTCTGGCCAATGTACCTGTAGAAGGTTTTCTTATTGTTTTTCACGTCCCTTGCCAAGTTCAGTTCTGCCTGCGCCTTGGCTTCCCTGATCCCACGTCTGCAAGTCCGGAATTAATGATTAAGTGAATACTATACGAAAGATTTATTACATAATTAACATTGCATAGTTGTATGTGCAATTACACAGTCATGGTTCTTGACCAGATTTCTACATAAGTCTTAACTGCTCTAGTCTTAATGAGGGCTTTGATAATCAAGGCCAAGAACAAACTTCTGATTGAACCTTGATTATGATAGTTATATTATAAATGCTGGTAAGTGCTATGTGGCATGCAGACTATCAAGTCAACCTGTATCCTTTATTATTTTAACTTGACTGGGAACTGCAAGTTTAGCTAGCTTCAGATGACCACAAAAGCAAATAGAATTACAGTATCACAGAACAGTAAGAAATTATCAGACAAGTTGTCTCCTTTTTCTAAGTCTCTACCCAAATTTAAACTGATAATATAATGTATCAATTAATACAGTGCTAGTAGACTGTTATATCATATAAACACTGTCCACTAATACTCTGTAACAGAATATTAATGTATAAAGTTTTATGCTGCTAATTATATATCATTCTACACTATCTTCTCTTCATTTTCTGTGCATGACACATTTTAATAAAGCCCTTCTGTCTTATTTTTAAAATCATAAAAAAAAATAGATCTACATATGGTAAAACAGTAATTTCCTGTAAATGTCACAACAGAGAAGATTCTTGATATACTGAGCTCCATTTAAGTGCAGAACAAGAGACAACCCATCCCAACAACATGCAGTACTGACAAGATGTCCCCTATTATCACCCCAAGCTGGAGCTGGAGCTCTGACCGAGGCCATTAGACTTTCAGAGGATTACAGAACCTCACTTCATCACTGGTTTTCTCTGAAGAGTGACCTATAATGCACACTATTTTCTTACCTTCCAGCGCACAGGGTTGAGTGCCTTGATCTGATCATTCATATCTTCCTCAACATTAAATCTGTTGATCACGGAGTTTATTTTGAAAGCAACAGCATAATCTCGGCACCACTGCCTTAGTTTATGCAGATTTTCCACGTGGTTCTTCTTTCCTTGACCACGGCCAATTAAAACGTTGACTTCCTCGTTAAAACTATCACATGAAATTGCCAGAATGTCTAAATATTCACCTGAGAACAAATTTCAAAAATCAATAAGCAATATGTTTTTTTTTTCATTTGGAAATTGTTGTAGTCTGCCTAGCCTCATTTCCTCATGGTCTATCGCCAAGCATCACCTAACTACAGTCCTGAGAAATCATTGCATCAACACAAAAAACACAGCCGTGTCATCTTCAGAAGGCACATCACCCTTCTTGCATTATGGAGACAGGCTGAGTTATTCTTTTATTATGCTATTGACCACAGAGGCAATAGAACTGACTGCATATGTTCAGAATGTGTAATTAACAGTATTTCATTGTAAGTTACTCATGGTTCACAGGTACTGTAATCACACAATCATTAAGGTTGGAAATTACCACTAAGATCATCTGGTCCAATCACCAACACGTTCCCATCGTGCCCAGTAACCATGTCCCTCAGTGCCACATCTCCACACTTCTTGAGCACCTCCAGGAACAGTGAATTCATCACCTCCCTGGGCAGTCTGTTCCAATACTTCACCACTCTGTCTGAGAAAAAATCTTTCCTACTATCAAACTTGAAAATGAACTACTAAGAAGACATTTCCTAGCATCCTTCCAGAAGGCTGCCCCAATCCATTTCTCAAACCCCACAAGCGCTTGTTTTGCATGATGAGCTTTTCTTACCATACTTCTTGAACCACCGTTCTCTGATCAGGCTGCCATTGCTCACAATGCTGACACTTGGCAGCTTCAGCTCCTCCTTGCAGAACCGGACCAGCTGGCCTACAAATTCACCTCTGTCCTGAAGAAATGGTTCTCCTCCTGAGAAATTTATTTTCTCCATTCCTAGAAAAGGACCAAAGAATGATGTAATGAGCCTGTCTGCCTATTGACCACTACTTTCCAACACTCCACCCCAGCTATATGAGGGAACCTGATCATGGCAGTTACAGAATGACTTAGAATCATAGAGTCATGTGAATTGAAAAGGACTTTCAAAGGCCATCCAGTCCAACAGCCCTGCAATGAACAGGGACACCTACAGCTCGATCAGATCCCCATCCAGCCCGACCTTGAATGTCTCCAGGCATGGGCATCCACTGTGTCTCTGGCCAACTCATCCCAGTGACACACCATCCTTACAGTTAAAAACTTTCTTCTTATACCCAGTTTTAATCTCCCCCTTCTATTTTGAAACCATTTCCCCTTATCCTATCAAAACAAACCCTGCTAAAGTGTCTGACTTCGTCAATGCCATTTGGTTCTGCTTGTCGTTCCCATGCATTCCTCACCCTATCTCTCCCAGTGGCTCCCAGACTCACCCGCCTCCTTGAGCATTGCCAGTCCCCGCTTGGCTTCCTCCAGGGGCAGCACGAAGGAAGTCTTGGCCGTATGGAAGCAGAAACCGCACTTGTAGTTGCACTGCCTGGTGAAGTGGTAATTGACGCTGGTGGGCGTCGGGACCGTCTCGTCCTTGTCGTCCCGGAGTGCTGCGCGGGTGTCGGGGCTGTAGCCCGACCGCCTCCTCCAGGAGAGCAGGGGCAGAACGAGGGGCGTCAGCTCCCAGCACAGCGCGCTCAGCCGCCCGCGCAGCGCTGCCAGAACCGCCCGCGCAAGGGCCAGCGGCAGGTGACCCAGTACGCCTAGCAGCATGGCTCGGCTCAGTTCGACCCGGAGAGGTGCACTGAGGTTCAGCTGGATCGGCTCTATTTGGCTCGTCTTGTCCCTGCTGGGTTCGAATCGGCTCAACTCAGCTTTATCAGTTTATCTAGCCTAGGTTCGGTTCGGCTTTATGATGCTCGGTCTGTCCGGCTCGGATCTCACACTGCAGCGAGGAGCCCGGCGCTCCGCATTTAAAAGAGCGGCGGCACAGCCCGCCCCGCCCGCCGCGGCACGGCACGGCACCGCACGGCACGGCACGGGGAAGCGCCGAGTTTCGCTTTCCTTTCTCGATGAGAAGAAATTTGGCTCCGAGCCCCGCTCCTCTCGAGCCCGCGGTGTGGCCGTTGGCGTCTCCGTAGGGCCGGGCGCTTCCAGCACCTGAAGATTCCCACTGGGTGTGGGCTCCGTGGCTCCAGTTCTCGCAGTGGTAAAGGGCAAGGCAAGGTGACAGCTGAGCTTGTGTTCTACTGAGCATGGTGAAGCCCTGGCACAGAGCAGCTGTGGATGCCCCATCCCTGGAGATGTTCAAGGCCAGGTTGGATGGGGCCATCCATTTTGTGGCAGGCAACTCTGTCCACTGCAGGGGTTAGGAACTGGATGATCTTATGGTCCCTTCTGACTCAGACTATTCTATGATGCTACAATTCACAGAATCAAAGAATCACAGCATGGCCCAGGTTGGAAGGGACCTCAAGAATCATGAATCTCTAACCCCCCTGCCACAGGCGGGACTATCAACCTCCACATTCAATGCTAGACCAAGCTGCCCAGGGCCCCATACAACCTGGCCTTGAACACCTCCAGGGTTTGGGGCATCCACAACCTCTCTGGGCAGCCTGTTCCAGCACTTCACCACTCTCTCTGTAAAGAACTTCCCCCTGACATCCAATCTAAATCTTCCCTCCTTCAACTTAAAACCATTTGCCCTTGTCCTGCCATTATCTACCCTTGTAAAGAGTTGACTCCCGTCTTGTTTATAGTCTCCCTTCAGTTACTGGAAGGCTGTAGTGAAGTCACCCCACAGCCTTCTTTTCTCCAGGCTGCACAAGCCCAGCTCCTTCATCCTGTCTTCACAGGAGAGGTGCTCCAGTCCTCTGATCATCTTTGTGGCCCTCCTCTGGACCCTCTCCAACAGCTCCTTGTCTTTCTTGTACTGGGGAGCCCAGACCTGGACACAGTACTCCAGATGGGCCTCACAAGGGCAGAGTATAGAGGGACAATCACCTCCCTTTCCCTGCTGGCCACCCCTCTTCTGATGGAGCCCAGGATACCACTTAGTTTCCAAACTGCTACTCTCCTTTAGCTGACCTGGTCCACTAATGGCTGGACCATAACAGACCAGTCTTCAGCTTTCCCCTTAAGCCAGTGTACAGGTTCCCTATCAGCCTGCTGGATCCATGTCAGCAGGGTGGGAAGAGAGCCTCCCTGCTGGGTCTGGCCTTCATAACACCACCTTACAAATGGGTTGTTGCTGTATGACAGGAAATATCTCAGCTCCTGAGGGTTTCCAAAATTGTCTTGGAGTTTATCAACAGAGGCCATTTCAATGAGCTGTCCACGTGAGATGTGATCCATGTGCCCTTCCAATTCCTTCAGGTTTGTGTAAGACACAAGATTAAGGATGAAAGCAGGCTTTTCTGGTATCCTCAGTTCTTCCCTCTCTTACATAATCCCCTCTGCTTCATGTTAGAAACTTTCTCACATTGTATCTTATCTACCCCAATTCATATTACTTTCTCACCTAATTTCTAACTTATATCACGTTCAGCCAATGCAACCACAGGGAGCACAGTTTTTTCCCTCCCTTGAGTTGAACATCAGATGTGGGTAAAAATCAGGGACCAGACAAAAGACATCTGTATGTTGGCATCTATTTCAGGGAAAATTTTTCACTCAGAGGGCAGTGAGGCCCTGACACATCTGCCCAGAGAGCTGTGGGTGTCTCATCTCTGGATACACTCAAGGCTGGATTGGGTGGGACTCTCTGGTGGGAGATAACCAGTCCAGAGCAGGGGGATTGGGATTGAATGATCGTTGAGGTCCTTTCCAACCCAAGCCATGCTATGATTCCGTGATCTTTTACTGAGAATGCTTGTGGTAGGTAGGCACAAGATCTTAAAGACTTCCACTAGTGCTTCTCATATGGCGGATATGTTCCAAAATATGTAATTTTCAAAATCAACTGAAATTTTTAATTATTACTGATTTATCTCAACACAAGATTTACATCTGATGCAAAAAGACTCTGAGAGTATGCCTGAATAGTATCAGTAAAATAAAACATGAGCATTTTTGAATGGTGTTCCTTTTTGAAAGAGGGGATCTGTATTTCCAGAGGAAAAAAAATGTACAGAGAACTTAACACTGAAGTTTACTCAAGACTTTCTGTTCCTCATAATTTTCTCTGAGCTTTCTTAGGAAATGGCAATTACGAAATCTCTCTCTAATTTTTGCCTCAGTTTTCAGACATTGTTCTCTGCATTACATGCAGAACCTATGCCTGATTGTTACTGCAACATAAACACAGACCTGGATGTGCCCTCTGAGGATGTGCAAGAACTAGCAATCTACAGTAAACGTTGAAAGCAGTGACTGATTTTCTGGCCTATAGCCTTCAAGAAGAAGTTTGGAAAAGCACAGTGGTCTCTATAAGTGGCAGGAGATCTGACTTTCTGTCTCTGTTCCTGATAGGACTCCTGCAGTCAGAGAATGGCATCCCAGAACTCAGTGCATTTCAGTTCATCAGATATGCATCAAAAATATTTTCAACATACACATAAGTTTTCAGAAATGTTTGAATGCTGCTGTTAATGGCAAACTGGATGGCACACAGTGATGGGAAATGGTTTTAAGTTGAGGGAGGGAAGATTGAGGTTAGAAGTCAAGGGGAAGTCCTTTACAGAGAGAGTGTTGAGGTGCTGGAACAGGCTGCCCAGAGAGGTTGTGGATGCCCCGTCCCTGGAGGTGTTCAGAGCCAGGTTGGATGGGGCCCTGGGCAGCCTGGTCTAGTATTAAATGGGGAGGTTGATGTCCCTGCATGTGGCAGGGGGGTTGGAGATTCATGATCCTTGAGGTCCCTTCCAACCTGGGCCATTCTGTGATTCTGTGATTCATGACTGGCATAAAAGAATCCAGCAGGATATACGTGGCTATTACTGCTGTGCACCCTTTTTGCTAGAAAAGTAGAACTTTAAAATAATGTTCCAGGAGAACAGTGCTTTTCACATAGTTAGCACATTTGCTCTTCAACATCATTTTCCTGTTGTACAAAAGACAAAATGATAATAGTACAGTTGAAGAAAGTGAAAAAATGTTCAATGTATGTTAATTTCAAAACAGATTTATATTCTCTACATTGATTCTAAACACAAAGATCTGCCTTGGAGAAAAAAAGACAATTCCATTCTCCTCTGTTTTTACCCGGCTATTCCTGTATAATTTGTTGTGAAGCACCTGAAATCTTGCACAAATATAGTTTTAAGTAGTTAGCCAGGAGAACAGAAAGCCACACACAAAAGTGATCTCTTAAACATACTATTAAAAGAAAAAGAAGCACTGGCTGCTTGGCTCTGGAATGCTTGTAAACAGGGTGAGATCAGTGTGGTGGGAGGGGAAAATGGAAAATGGAAAATGAAAGTAAACATTCAGTCATCAGGGAAAGGCAGCTGTGCCATCAGGAAATAAGGAAAACAGATAAGCAAGGAACCAGAGAAGTCAATGAGGAACCAGGTCAGTTTTCAAGCAAGACTTGACTGTGAGTCAAAGAGATGAATCAACAAAAATGTAGCAGCTTCAGTGTAGGGAAATGTAACACAGTGCACATATGAAAAAATAATCAAAGCCACATTTGCATAATGATGAGTTCAGTAGTTGCACTTCCATCTCAGGAAAGACATCTCAGAGTGCAGCTACCTTCCTGAAACCATTGGCTCTGTATCAGCCAAAAAAAAAAAAAAAAAAAAAGTCAACAAAAACAGTACCAAGCACTGAGAATAAGAGAGGTGGCGTTAATTTGCTGTTCTGTGCAAACTGGGAACATAGAGCTATACTTTGAGAAGTGGTACAGTTCTGCTCCCCGCATCTTAGCATGATCTCTTGGATCTCTTGGAAGGATCTCTTCCTCTCTTGGAAAGAGTCCAGCGGAGGGCCACAAAGATGGTGAAGGGCCTGGAGCATCTCTCCTATGAAGAAAGGCTGAGTGAACTGGGTCTGTTCAGCCTTGAGAAAAGAAGACTGAGAGGGGACCTGATCCAGGTCTACAGATATCTAAGGTGTGGGGGGCAGAATGGCGAGGCCGGACTCTTTTCAGTGGTGAGTGGAGACAGGACAAGGGGAAACGGCCGGAAACTGCAGCATAGGAAGTTCTGCACAAATGTGCACAAGAACTTCTTTACAGTGAGGTGACGGAGCACTGGAACAGGCTGCCCAGGGAGGTGGTGGAGTCTCCTTCTCTGGAGATGTTCAAGACCTGCCTGGATGCCGACCTGTGCGACCTGCTGTAGGGAACCTGCTTTGGCAGGGGGGTTGGACTCGATGATCTCTGGAGGTCCCTTCCAACCCCTACAGTTCTGTGATTCTGTGATCTCATGGTGTTAAAGTTGTCCTTGGAATCAAATGAGCAAGGGGACTGAGCAGCAGAAAAGGCTCTCACTTCTACATGACAGGCCTTGAGGGGAAATCTGAGCCAGCTTTACAAAATCATGAAGGTGGTAAACAAGCTGAGTGTTGAACGGTTATTTACCAGTCAGCTATTTTATAAGTAGAGAGCACTTACTGAAAGAAGTATAGCAGAGTGTACTCTCTTTTGTATTCAAGACATCGAGGCCCTGGAGTGTATCCAGAGAAGGGCAACAGAGCTGTGAGGGGTCTGGAGCACAAGTCTTATGGGGAGTGGCTGAAGGAATGAGGATTGTTCAGTGTGGAGAAGAGGAGACTCGGGAGACCTTAACACTCTCCACAACTACCTGAAAGGAGGCTGTGGTGAGATGGGGGGTCAGCCTCTTTTCCCACATACAAGTGACAGGATGAGAGAGAATGGCCTCAAGTTGTGCCAGGGAAGGTCCAGTTTAGATATCAGGAAATATTTCTTCTCAGAAAGAATGGTGAGGCATTGGCACAGGCTGCCCAGGGAACAGTGGAGTTACCATCCCTGAAGATGTTCAAGAAATGTGGAGATGTGGCACACGAGAGACACGGTTAGTGGGCATGGCGGAGGTGAGTTGACAGTGGAATTAGATGATCTTAGACATCTTTTCCAGCCATAATGATTCTATTCTAGGATTCTGTGATATTCAGAAATCAACTTGGGTATCTCCAACGTGCAGTTTTCCAGCTATTTAAAGGGCAAAATGGGACTGCTGCAGGTTCTCCTGTTTTATAAGATAAATATTTCAAAAAACACAAAATCTACATTTTGGACAGCATCAGTCATAGCAGCTGTCAAGAACTGTGTGATCATACAATGTCCTGAGTTGGAAGGGACCCACAAGGATCATTAAGTCCAACTCCTGGCTTCACACCAGAGCACTCAAAATCCAACTCTACGCCGGAGGGCGGTGTCCAAACGCCCCTTGAACTCCGGCACTAGGGGCCGTGCTCACTGAGCTGGACAGCCTGTTCTATGCCCACCGCCCTCTGGTGCACAGCCTGTTCCTAACCGCTACCCTGACCGTCCCCTAACACAACTCCATGCTGTTCCCTCGGGTTTATCGCCTGTCATCAGAAAGAGGAGATCAGAAACATAAATTAAAAAAACATCTGTCTCTATCTTCCTTTCACTTTCACTTCCACCCCAGGCACGCCCAGCCTGCACGGAGCGATTTCCCGCTGGGAGCGCTCCTGTGATCCACCAAACGAGGAGAGGCGGAGCAGAAAACCTTTGCCCCAGAGACACAGCCCCCGCTTTTCCTCACAGACACGAGTCACTTTCGTTTCTCGCCGGCTCCGCCACCGCCAGCCCCTTTCCTCGCCTGGCCCCGGTGCGGCAGAGGCAGCAGGCGGCGATGCTGCGGGGCTGCACCGCGGGGCCTCCCGGGCCCCTCCGCCGCGCCCTGCCTGCTGCCGCCTCCGTCGTCCGCCTCCGCCTGCGGGAGGTGAGCGCACAGGGGGCCGCGGGGCGCTCCGTTCCGTGTGGTTGGCAAGCAGGTACGAAGGTTTAACTCTCTCCCGCAGTGCGCGGCGCGGATCCCGGAGGCCGGAGAGGTGCTGGACATCCTGGAGAAGTGCCCCGAGCGTCAGCGGAAGGGAGAGTTTCCAGTCGTGGTGTTTGAGGGGCTGGATGCCACAGGTAAGAGCGTGGTGCAGTAAGGGCTGTTGGGAAGAGTAACCACCATGGGTTTAAGACACATCTAAGGTTTAAAATGTCATAAAAAAACAAATTATATTCAAAAATTCGAAAACTCAAAAATTCAGAAAATTAGACTTAAGACATGAATAATTAACCATTATGAATACCAGTCTACCTTCTCTCATTTACTGCTTTTCACTCTATGGTTGAATTCTTTGTCTATGTAAATGAAGAAACACAAAGTGTGGTGTGCTGGAAATTGTAGTTCTTGTGCAGATTATGAAGCGTATTTTTGTTGACAAGTAAACTCAACTACTGGAGCTAAAGTAGTGGTGGGCTGGGAAGCTGGCAACAGTTTGTTGCAGGGAGAAGTATGCGTTGCTTCTGAATAACTTTGTTTTCTGTATTTTTGTCAAATAGAACTGAAAAGTGCTTCTAAAAAGCAAGTAGTGGTTGATACTACCCACACAGATTGTCGCATAGAAAAATGCTGTAAATGGATATGTAAAGAAATTGGTATTCAAAATGCATTTAAAGGAGTGAATCTAGAGAACTGCTGGAAGGAAAGAGGAGGTCCAGAGAGCTGAAAGTGGAGTAATTAATACCCTTTGAGTCAAGCTCACAAACACTTTCCACTGAAAGCCTTATCACAAGGTACTCAGGCTGCACTGGTGTCAGAACATGTACTCCAAATAGAAAAATAAAAGCACTTTTCAGTTATTAAAATTCAGCTGTATCTGAAGTGATATATAACTACTGTTTCCTTTTGTAAATGAAATGCAGGCAAAACCACAGTAACACAGTCAGTTAAAGATGCCCTGGGTGCTGTTCTGTTAAGGTCTCCGCCAGCTTGCATCAGCCAGTGGAGGACAATATTTGATGAAGAGCCAACACCCATTAGAAGGGCCTTTTATGCTGCGGGCAACTACATCCTTGCTTCAGAAATAGCAAAAGCATCCACTAAAGCACCTGTGATTGTAGACAGGTTTGTATATTTAAGAAATCCTCTTACATCAGTACCATCATCCAGTTGCTCAGTGGAAAGAAAGAAAAGAAAAGAATAGAAATGAAAGAAAAAATGGGAAGGGAAGGGGAAGGGGAAGGGGAAGGGAAGGGGAAAGGGAAAGGGAAGGGAAAGGAAGGGAAGGGAAGGGTTATTGGATTTGAAAAGATTACATAACACTCTCCTTTTGGCCTCATCATATGAGAAGACTTTATTTTGATAGGAGTATCTGGAACATTTTACCTAATGCATGGCTTCTACCATACCTTTTAATTCGTAATTCACAATGATTCTGACTACTATAGAGTACTATGGCAATTCTGGATGGCACAGAATTTTTTTTTTTATAGTTGCCTTCAAACTCCCAGCATCAACTACCTAGTCATTCTTTTACTTGTGGTTATCATAGAATCAGCAGCATAGAATCATTTGAGTTGAACAGGGACCTTCAAAGGTCATCTCATCCAATTCCCCTGCAATGAACAGGGACATCTACAGCTAGATCAGGTTGCTCAGAACCCCGTCCATCCTGACCTTGAATGTCTCCAAGGATGAGGCATCTACCACCTCTCACAGCAGCCTCTTATACTGATACTTGCCTCCTATGTTGTTGAAGATCTTGTGTCCATTCTAAAATGTCTTTCGGTCCATTCTGCATTTTCCCAACAGGTACTGGCATAGCACAGCTGCTTATACAATAGCCACTGAAACAGATGGTAACATCCAAAATCTTCCACCAGATCATGATGCTGTGTATAAGTGGCCTGAAGACCTGCTCAAACCCGATCTTGTTCTTCTTCTAACTGTCAGCCCTGAGGAACGAGCCCGGAGGCTTGAAGGTCGAGGCCTGGAGAGAACAAAGGAAGAGGCTGAGCTGGAAGCTAACAGCTTGTTTCGCCAAAGGTATACTTTAATGAAGGGTAAGAGGATGGAAGCAGTCTTGGTTCCTGTGAAATCAGTAACAAAATGTTTAGCTTTTGTTACTGGGACGAGGATTCCTGTATCTCTACATTTTGTGGAGGCTTTTTTGGTTTTGTTTTTGTTTTTTGGAAAAGATTCATGTCTGATGAGGAGGGTAAATTTTATCATTTCTAATTAAACATGTTTGAAAGTTACAGGTGAATAATTTCAGTCTCCTATATAGTCAACACAGTCAGTGCCACCTTCAGTGTGATTCAGCTGAGCTGATGCTAGGAAACTAGTGATCCGAGCATAAGTACCTAGAGTAATCTGATGTGTTCTAGGGCATCTACAAGAGGCTGACAGATATGACACACAACCTGTGCACCCTTTCTGGGTCAGCAGTTGGAAGCTAAATGAGATTAGACTGCATCGTCTCAAGCAGCGCTTGAAACACATGTTTAGGCATCTGAATTGCACCCTAGATATCCTACTTAGGGTGAGCTGAATTGCTGTCTAGGCACCTCCAAATGTATTGGTGACATCATCATTTTCTGCAGTGGGAGCTTGAATAACTAGTGCTCTTGTATGTATCTCCACATCAACACCTGGATGTAGGTGTTTATATACACAAATCTCAAAGCTGAAACTTACCTCTAGACTTTTAGCATTTATATTGATGGCATATATTAAAAAATGTATTACCTGATTTTGATAGAAGCACTGTGCAGACATACAGTGGGGCCTGTGTCAGGATAGGTGTACTGAGAGAAAATGATGCCATTTAAATATCATGGGATCATAGAATTGCTCAGGTTGGAAAAGACCTTCAAGATCACCAAGTCCAACCACGTCCTAACCATACTGCCCTAACAACCCTCTGTTAAATCATGTCCCTGAGCACCACATCCAAATGGTTTTCAAACACATCCAGGGATGGCGACTCAACCACCTCCCTGGGGAGCCTATTCCAGTGCTTAACAACCTTTTCTGTAAAGAAGTGTCTCCTGATATCCAATCTAAATTTCCCCTGACTCAACTTAAGGCTCCCCTTGTCCTGTCACCTGCCACCAGTGAGAAGAGACCAGCCCCACTCTCACTGCAGTCACCTTTCAGGTATTTGAAGAGAGCAGTAAGGTCAGGTGTTAGAAGCAGAATGCCCTGTTCTGGACAGTTTCTAGAGCTAAGCCATAAAGAAAGAAATATATCAGTGACATGCCATGTGAATATTGATATGGGTCTGGCAATCATTGTCAAGGAAACTATGCAAGTCTCAGGTTTTCCTAATAGTTCATTGCTCTTTGCAGTAGATTTCATACCTAGTTTCATATTACATTTTTTTCCATTGCTTCTGCAGTGCCAGCACTTTCTTCTGAGACCGATGACTAATGCCATTTCACATTCCTGCAATTTGTTTTGTTGCTTTTGTTTTGTTTTAAAATAGAATTGAAGAGTCGTACAGAAGGATGGTAAATCCTGCATGCCAAGATGTTGATGCCAGTCCCTCCAAGGAAGAGGTTTTCAAGACAGTGCTGCAACTGATTAAAAAACACTGTGCCTTGTGAAAGCAACTTCTTTTTATTAACACTTAAAATATACTTTTTATTGTCCCTTTATTTATGCTAGCTCAAAATGCCCTATGTTGTTCTTTGTTCCCTGGAAGAACCTTTTATTTCTCCTGCCAACAGCAATCTGGTCAGGTTATCAGTTTCACTGATGTCTACTGCACTTTTATGTATGAAGCAAAATAGCACTCACACATTGTTCAGCATTCCTGGTAAAGCCACAAGCCTACCAAGGTCTTACACAAAGTATGTGAGAGTCCTCTCTGACACTGCGACACTTCAAGATCCTGTCAGATTGTGTCATCATCGTCATGAGAACTTGTTCCTGCCTTCACTGTGTATCAGAATTCACTGATTGCAGCAGGAGCATGAGACGTACAAGGAGAGGATAAAATGTAATCCAGCAGTAAAGCAATGAGACGATCATAACTTTCTGGAACAGCCTGATGTTGCTTACTGTAATAAAGGATGAGCTGCTGTGATGAGCTTCCTGTAAGAAGTGTCTCATAAATACAGGCTAGTAAGTACCTGGGACTCTAAGGAATACAGTTCATGCCTGTCAACATATGCAAATGAAATGTAAATTCATTTCGGAGGGAAAAAAGAGAACACAGACATGTTAGAAGCAGAGACCAGAAAAGAACATGAGATTAAAAGCACTGGTTAAATGATTCTTAAAATATATTTCTACAAAGTATTTTCTCTATCCTATAGGTTTGTCAGTGTAAGTTTGTGTTCTTTTTGAGAGAATGTGAAATGACAAAATGCAGAGAATTGGAGCAATGAGGATGGTGGCACTCCAATTTTACTCATAAGTTTTTTTTTCCCCACATGTTGAATACAGAAGCAGGCTACCAGCAAGACTTCAGCCCTGCAAAGTCTTATTTTTTATGTATGTTTGTTTCACTGTTACTCATAACTATGAAACAAAACATATGGCTAAGCCTTTGGGGGTGTCAGAAGTGAACTGCTGTTCCAGGAAAGGAAAGGCAAGGCAAGGCAAGGCAAGGCAAGGCAAGGCAAGGCAAGGCAAGGCAAGGCAAGGCAAGGCAAGGAAAGGAAA